TACTTTCCATGGTTTCTATTACAAGAAATTATAGATTTATTTTCTTCTAAATTAAAATTACATTATAATATTATATATACATTCCCCAGGAATTTCTGATACACACCTCCTTAGTTGAGAATTTGTTATGGTGACATAATCAGGAGTTTGTTATATTGAAATTCATGAATTCTTTGTGCATTTACTGAGTTCCTATAATTGGTACTGAGGATGGAAAAAGCAGTGGGCTGTGGTTGTAGTCCCCAAGGTACATTCCCAAGGAATGGGAACAGTACAGTAAAGGCACCAAGGTGTGAAAATAATTTATATATGAAAATAAATAAAATTGTCTGTCCTCATGTCATGTTTGACAGTGTTCCTTTTAAAAATTACAAACAGGAGTTTTTGTTTCTAGGGCATAAAATAATTTAAGCAACTGGCTGGATCTGCTGAGATCCAGCATTAAGGATAGCAATCTGACCATCTCGGTATTTCTTTATGTTAAATTAATCTTGTTACTAATAGGGCCACATGTTATCTTCCCTAATCTCTTGATTACTAAAGTTCAGTTTCTCTTTGTAAACTCTGAACCCGATTTTAAAGTTTTTTGCTCTTTTGATTTTTCAGTTGTCCTTTGAAATTTAATGTCATACATTAGCAACATGTTGTCATTTTTTAAAAGAAAGTTTGTTAAACATGACCTGATAAGTATGTTTTAAATGAAATTATAGAAATAAGATTTCATAAGTCAAAATCTTGATGATATGAGGATTGGTAATTTATCTGTTATATAGAATAAAAAGCACTCTTTTCAATGAAATTATTTTAGGTTATTTTGGAGTCTGTTTCATTCATTCAACAAATAATTTATTGAGTGCCCATCAAATGGGAGATGTAATGTGTACTTAGTGCCGGGGATGTAAAGAGATAAGGCGGACATGATTCGTGCTGCATGGAGTTTACCACCTCCATAGTTATAAGCAACATTCTAAACTTAAACACTTATAATAAAGTGTGATAAGTGCCTGTGATACGTATGGGCTTCTGTGAAAATACAAGTGTGTGTGTATAGGGGAGGGTTGAGAGAAACATGTTTTAAAAGGCTTCCCTTTTCCTTTTCAGACCTAAAAGATGAGTAGATGAAGAAGCCTGAGAAGAGTATTTCAGGCATAGGGAATAGCAGTTGAGGGCTGTGGGTGAGAGTGGAGTACATTTGAGAGAGTGAAAGTTTAGTAGGGCTGGATCTTAGACATGGGGGGATGGGGAGGAGCTGTGGTGATGGAAGATGAGATCAGAAAGGTAAGCAGGAGGCAGGGCTCAAAGGGCATTGAAGCAAATATAAATTTAGGCCAGAAGACCTTGGTGGTGGGAGTAAGAAAAATGGGTGGAAGAACTTAATCAGATTTTTAGAAAGATCACTTTGGGGCTGGTTAGCTCAATTGGTTAGAGTGCAGTGTTATAACACGAAGGTCAAAGGTTCAGATCTCATACCGGCTAACCACCAGAAAAAGAGAACACTTTGGATCCAGTGTGGAGAACTGAAAGGGGGTGAGGCTTGAGGCAGGGGACTGGTTGGGAGGCTCTTGTAATTTCCTAGATGTAGGTGGCCTGTTCTAAGGTGGTGGCACTGGTAATAGAGAGAAGTGGACAGATGAGGGATATTTCAGAGAGAGAACTGATGAGAATTGGTAATTGCCAGGAGGTGGGGAGGGGGAGGGATAATGGAGGTTGCTATGGAGGCTTCTGACTTGGAAAGTGGAGTGGAAAGCAAGCCTATTCATCAAAAGAAAGTAAAGTGGAGGAGGAGCAGGTTTGGAGGGAGAAGAGATATGGAGATTTTATTTGGGAGGACATATTTAGTTTTGTGGGCCTGGAGGTCAGGAGAGAGCAAAGGGTTGGATTTTATAGATTTAGGTGTCATCAAAACCATAGAGTAAATGGTAAAGACCAGGGAGAATATATTGAAAAGTGGCCCTTCAAATTTATTTTTCAGGAGGGAAAAAGAGTTTTGTTAATCTGTTGAACTATAAACTTTCTCCCAGGAAAAATCTGGGTTCTCTCCCTAGAAAAATACACATACGTATAACAGTTTACATATAATTCCAAGGTTTACAAAACGGGGCATCTGTGACCTTCATGTTATAGAGTAAAAGAGGACCTAGGGCAAAACCCTGAAGAACATCAACTTTTATGGATGGAGCATTAGGAAGAAGATCTGGCCAAAAAAAAAAAGACTTGGAATGAGTTTTATGCCCTGTGTAAAACCAGCTGAATGTAGTGTTGAAAGGAAACAAAAGGAGAAAGGAGTTTCAAAAGGGGGAGTAGTCAATAGTGACAAATGCCTCTAGGGGTCAAGTGCAGTAAGGAATGAAAAGTGTTCATTGGATGGATTTAGTAATTAAATCCCCAGAGTTTTGGAGAATAAGTTTAGGGGCAATGGTGAGGGAGGGAGTCAAATTGCAGTGGGCTGAAGCATTCATGAGAGGTAAAGAAGTGGAGTCAGAAGTTTCATTATGAAAGAAAAGAGGTAGATGGAGGCTTGGGTAAGACTTGAGCATGTTTAGATACTGATGAAGTGGTCAGAAGAGGAGACAAGATAGAGGAGATATGTGTGATGATACTCAAGGTCCCTGAGAATGTGGTAGGTTGGATAGGAGATTCAGAGCATGGGTAGAAGGATAGTTTTAGACAGGAGAGTGGACATTGAAAGTGGAAGGAAGAAGAGTATGAAAACAGTAAGTTTGTAGGTTTGGTGACAAGAAGTTGGAGGAATTCTCATATTTTCTATTTCTCTAAAGTCATATGTAAAATCGTTTCACTTCTTGAATCATCAGATGGTGGTTTAAAAAAGTAATTATTATCTCATTAATACTGAAGATTATAATTTAGATTTGTGTGTGTGTTGTATTTGTATTATTGTGAGTATTCTGTTCAATTTATATGATGGTAAAAGATTGGGGAGGAATTTCAAATACAGTTTGTGATTTGGTTTTCTTAGTTATGGCCCCTAGTTTTCATGATTGAGTTTTTATGTTTTTAAAAACAAAACTGTTTCAAAGATATGGCCTAAGGGACTGGCTAGTAAATCAGTATCTCATGCTTACTTAATTTTATTCATTTACTGGTGACGTCTGTCTTCAAAAGGATTTTTATTGAAATTTTAAAATGATTAGTTATACTTATTTAGGCTTATTCCTGTTTAAGTTAAATGAACTTTTATACACTAAGCTTCCAATAACTAATTAATTGAACAGATCATTTAAACTGTGAGTAAAAGTGGGTAGAAATTAACCAAAACATTGCATTCAGATATTTTATAAATTAAATTATAAATATATATGAAAATTGTCATTTTCTCTTTACTTGTATCAAATTTGAATTAAAGAGGGTTAAATTTATGATCCTGTATAAGCAATCTTTTTTTTTGTCTTTTTCCGTGTCCGGCAACGGATCGCAACCCTCAGTGTCGCCCCCGTACCAGACCGGGACCGCCAACGGGATCGCAGCCCTCGGTGTTGCTCCCGCACCTCGCTCAGCCAGTGAGCGGGAACCGGTCTGTATGGTCTGTATGTGGGATCCGAACCCTCGGCGGGAGCGCCGCTGCGCTTCCCAAGCGGCGCACTATATCAGTGCGCCACCTGGCCGGCCCTGTATAAGCAATCTTTAAATTGACATATTATTCACATACTTTAAAAGTTATCCTTTAAAATGTGCAATTCAGGGCTGGCTGGTTAGCTCACTTAGTTAGAGCATGGTGTTGGTAACACCAGGTGTAAAGTAAGGCAAATCATAACTAAAGCAAAAATGTTTCATTATTTTAGTTATACTAAGTTTCCATTTATATTGTCAGAGTTAGGGCTCAGACCCTCCAAACCCATTGCACAGACTGGGTCCCCAGACCCTTCACATGCAGGTCCATGCTAGGTAATTGGGAAAGATTCCAGGAGTTGGCAGATGACATGAGCTCAGTCCTCAGCTTCCTCAGCGGCAGCAGCTTACAGGTCTGGTAGCTTACAGGTCCAGCAGTGGCAGTGGCCTTGCAGAGGGTCCCCGGGGCACTAGCAGCAGCAGCAGCCGCCTCCAGCAGCAGTAGTGGCCTCCCCATGCCCCCCCATGGGAGGGGACATCCTGGGAATGGGAGGCGCTGTAGACCAGAGCCACTCATCCTTATACTTAAGTCCATAACCCAGGAAACGTGGGTGCACATGCGCCGTTACACTAGACGATAACCAAGAACACCTGAGCACATAATGCCTGTTTACATCAAATGCTCGCAAGATTCTGAACATCTTAGGGGCCCTGACTATTTTTCCTATATTTTCCCAACACCAAGGTTAAGGGTTTGATCCCCATACTGGCCAGCTGCCAAAAATAAAAACAATTCAGTGGCTTTTAGTTTATTCACAACGCTGTGCATTCATCCATGTAAGTAATAATTTAATGTAAGGTAACTCATAAAATGTGGATTTGGGATGTATAGCTTTAATACATTAACTTTTAATTTTTAAGAAATATAGTAGATCTTGTCATCTAGCTGATGATTGAGGGGAAAGTAATTTATCTCTTCTGTCAAGTTTCTGGGACATTTAGATGGAGAACAGAACGTTATTTTTAAAAGTCTCATCTATATCAGGAAAGCTTTAATTTATCTTGTTTATGATCAACTTCAGTATAAAATATTTCATCCTTAAAATAGATATGACAGCCTGAATTTACTTATTTCGTCCTTAGAATTATTTTTCTCATTGCCACTGAGTTTCTCTGAGAATAGATCTTGATGGAAAATAGGAAGTGGGTCCTTATTAGAATATCAGATTTATAAGCTGTTAGTGGTGATCATTGTTAAAGTTTCAACCACTGGTTCAGCTGTCTTTTGTTTTCTACTCTTTAATGAAAACTTGTGATCATATTTCATACCTTGCTGTAGTTAGGATTTAATAATTCACTGCTGTTTTCAGTGTTTTAAAATGAAATAATACAGTCTTACCATTTTATTTAAATTGTTCCCATTTGTTGTTTCCTTTACAGTACTCTGTGCAAAAAACTTGGTGAAAAAGGATTTTTTCCGTAAGTAGATTAATTTTAAATTTAAATCTTGTATTTTATTTATAGGTTTTTTTTGGATAGCATTTTCAGAATTGTCTGGTTTAGGAATTTCTCTATTCAGAAATATACTCAGTGTTATTTTATGAATGCTTTGATTCAGAGCCATTTGGCATCACCTTTTTTTTTTTTAGAGGATTTTTGTGCTTTTAGCCTTAGCTCCTTTTGCTTTATCCACCCCTCCCACATATTTATGTAAGTGTGTGTATGCAGGTGTATAAATACAGACATGTAACATATGTTAAATGTCTGCATGTTACTAAATTTCTAGAAAAGGTTTAAGAGATTATTTTGTAAACACTTTCTTTTTAACATTTTATGGGAAATTTTACCCAGGTATTCAGGATTCATTGGAAGAGTCGTTGAGCCTGCTTGAAATTTCCAGAGTGTAGGAAAGAAATCTCTGCCACATTTGATCATAGATGCCCTTATGTCTCAGACTACAAAGCAGAAGTTTGATTCCCATATTTGCAGTCTATTTACCAATCTGTTGTGAAAATTTTTGTGGCTTTAGTTAGGATTAGGTTTTGTGAGAAAGGATTGTGAAGTACCCCTCACCCATGTTAAAAAATGTTTATCCTAGTTGTCTGGTTAGCTCAGTTAGAGAGCAGTCCTGATAAACCACCAAAGTCTGGGGTTGCTATACAGGCCAGCAAAAAAAAAAAATTTATTTTTACCCTGTAATATACTTTAAAATACCTTTAAATTATTGAGTAAAAAATGATATAATTTTTAGTTAAAAAATACTTTTAGCTAACAAAGTTTTATATGTAAAATATTTGAAGTTAGAGAAGATTCATTCAATTCATTTTAAATCCGAGTACTTAAATTCCAGCCAGCAAAACAGGCTATGTGTGCTGTCTAATTTAATATGACATTAGATAGTTTTCAGGGATTTGATTAAAGGGAATAATAAGCCCTTGATATATTTTTAAATTATACTTAATTCATTCCACTTGAAATCTTATTTCCAGTCTTCCTAGAGTAGAACCTGACTTAAAGTTTATGAAATAATATAGTCTTATAAAGCTAGATAGTTGTACATTTTTATGAGATCTTTATATTTATATGGGAAAGCAGTTAAATAGGATAATTTGGAACATAGTAAGGAAGAAAATTATAAGTAATCTTCAATTTATGTACTGCGTGCCTTCCATCCTACAGCATGTCACAGTAGGAGAGCCCAGTGGCCACAGAACTCCCCATCTCTCCCTCCTGCTGCCAATTGTTCTCTCTCTCAGGCTGCTGCTCAACTCCTAACCAAGGTGTACTTTTTTTTTTTAGTCTTCCTTGAGGTTGATCTGAGGTACGATTTTTCCTAGTGAGACTGCAAGGTGGCAAATAGGATCAGATAGTCTGGTGACAAGGAGAAAAGGGAGAAGATCACTCTTACAGCTGCTTTTGAAATACCCTCTAAGATATCTGCTCAGGTTTTGAAGATAAAATCTTCAGTTTTGTCTCCCAGCCTTCCTTTTCAAATTCTTTTCCTTTCTTCAACTCCCAAGACAGCTTCTGGCTTGTAAAGTATCTAGGTATTCTTGGGCTGGCTGGTTAGCTCACTGGGTTAGAACATAGCCTCATAACACAAAGGACAAGGGTTTGGTTCCACATACTGGCCAGCCATCCCCCAAATAAATAAATGAAATAAAATATCTAGATGTTCTCAGAGTTTTCCTAGGAAATCTAGAGGAATCTTACTTTAATTCTTTGTAAACCTCTGAAAGCCAAGCATTATCCCTTATGTGATCTTTATCTGTCCTTAACTTATAGGTGAAAGAACAAAGGAAATATTTTCCCTTTTTCGTTGGTGTAGGCAGTAGAAATTGATTAAAAAAAAAAAATTTTAAGAGTGTGAGCTTGCTTTAGAGGTAAGATTAGGGGGAACTTCGTGATTATCTTTAAAACTCAGAATGGGAGATACTTAATGGCCTGAGAAGGGAAACAGGAAAGCCAGTCCTTAGGCCTTCAGAAGGGAACTAGCCAGGGATGGAAGTACCTTCCAGGTTCACACTGGCCAAGGCCCCAAATGCTTGCTGTGGTAGATTTAAGTGTGTATTTAGGGATATTTTTGACCTGTCTATAAGTTGAGGGTTGCCCACATTAATTTCAGAGGAAAATAATAGTTCCTAAATTCTTAAATTAAGCGTGTGTTTATAGATCAGAGTGTAGTTTTCATTAATAGTAAAACACAGTCAGGGTTTTGATTGTGATTCGGTCTAAATTGTGTCGAATGAGAACACTAAATTTTAATATGGAGCATGACTATAGGGTGATGAAATAGATACACGTGTTTTTCACTACATGAAATAATCCACTGCTGTGTGTTGTCTTTTATAGAGAAATTTGTATGTGGGGTAATACTGTTTATTCCAGGGCACTACCCTGTTGAGAAAAGTTTTATTAACTCATATTTGGGAATGGTTTTCAAGCTTGTTAGCTTTTAAAAATAAGTTATTTCCCTCTTTCCCCAAAACTTTAGCAGGAAAATTTTCAAATATAAAGCATTAGATAAAAGAATTTTACAACGAACAGCTACCATCTGGATTCTACCATTAATTTTATCATATATCTATCCATTATCTAAGTTTTTTTTAAAGAATATTATCACTATTATCAGATTTTTTTCTCTCTTTTACGCAGCGTTAAAAAAAAAAAAGATTTTGTGTGTAAGATATGTATTAAGGTGTTTTTTAGGAGCCAAATCAAAGTCACTCAGAACTGAGATGGGTTGGTTATATATTTTATATATTTTATATAACTATATATATTTTTTCAACCAATATATATATATTTTATATATATAAATTTTTTTTTCCTTTTAGCCCAATCAAAAATAAAGCTTTGTTTTCTTTGGAAAGTAACTCACTTTTAAGTTGAAATTTTTGTTTCATTGTTATTTGTAGCTCATCAAGTGCCTTTGTGTAGTAAGGAGGTTCTTGAGCTTTAGCCATTTTATATGACTCAGAAATGATGGGGAGAAGTGAGAAATTTTAAAAAAGAGAAGATACTTTAGCCACTTTATATTTACAACTAGAAGTCTCACTAACTTCAGAAAATTTAATAGCTTTTGACCACATTAGAGTAACGTGGCTCTCAAGTTAAATTTTTGTAGAATAACATAATCAAGTTAGGTTGAAACCTAGATATTTTTTAAATTATACAGCTTGTATTTTGGTTTGTTTTATTGTTTAACAGAAACAAAACATAGGCTGGGATTCAGACTTTCCTACTTAATTAAGGATATGGAAGCCACATCTAGTTAGTGTGGAAAAATTTATTTTTCTTAGTCCTTAATTCTTCAACTAGTTAAATAACACCCAAAGGGAGAGCTAGAAATATGATTTTTATTTTTTTCTAACAAACATACATTTATATGTTTATTTATTTAGATAGTAGAATCAAAAGAACAAGATAGAATGGATTCTTCCCAGGAGAAGAAGGTAGAGATAAAAATACTCTTTCGTTAAACACATTTACAAACAGTTAGATGTAATTGAAATAATACAATAGCACTAAACTTCAAGAACAATATAGTTAAATAGATTTGATACCCTAACTTACCAAGTTTTGTTAAAACCTAACACTTAAAAAATTTGTTCTTCCCTTATTTATTTGATCGTGACAGATCACAGAATCACAGAATTGGAGAAATTGATAGGTGATTTCTGTTTGTTCTCGAATCTTGGCAAACTAGTGTCTTGACTTAAAAAAAAATTAGCATAGACATCAAGATGCAAAGTTTCTCCAGTCATCAGCACTCGCCAACATTTTGTTCTAGTACTTTCACCTGTCCACAGGAAATCTACTCTATCCCAGTATGTCTAATATCTAAATTGTCGTTTTTGTCTCTTTAGGGTTTTTAGTTCCACTTTCTTCTCCTAACTTTATTTTGTCAAAAGGACCACTATTTTCATTATTGCTTTGAGCTGAAAACTGTAGTGTCATCTTTGATACTATTTTCTTATTAATTCATATTAGATCTTTCAGAGTAGCTCTCTTAACTGTCATTTCCTTTCCTTTTTCATGTAACATCCCTATTTGTCCTGTTGGATTATTACAACAGCTTTACAGGTGGTCTCTGTGCCTTTAGTGTTTCCTTCTCTTAGTCTACCCTGAATATCACTGATAGAAAAATATGACTGTATTTACAGCCATGCTCAAGAATCTATACTGGTTCCCTGTTATCTGTCTCAATCATTCCAAGCCCTATTTTCTCTGACTTTTAAGCCTCTCTTGCTGGATCAGTCTTATCTCTCCAACTGTATTTACTTTTATACCTTAGCACAAATGCTTTGGTAAGACTCACCAAAGCCCTTCAAATGTTGTCATACTCTCCTTGGTGCTCTTCCTATTGCTAGGAAAGTCTTCCTTTTCCTATTTGCCCTTTGAAGCCCAGATTAGTCTCCCCGCCAACAAAAAGCCCTTTCTTCATTGTTCAAATTCACACTGTTCTCCTGTTTTTCAGAGCTCTTATTTGTACTCACTATTGAAGTGCATAGTAAATGAGGGGTATAATATAGCATAGTGATTAAGAGCATGAAGTCGAGAGCCAGACTGCATGGGCGTGGCGTTAGGATCTAAACTGTAGAGCCTGGCTCTGCCCCTTATTACTGTGTACAGCCAAGCACTTGTTTATTCTCAGGTTTTTGTTTTGTTTTGTCATGTATGTTATTTTTATCTCCCCAGTTAGATAGTAAGCTCTTTTATGGCAGAGTATTACTTTCTTCTGTTTCAGTCTCTCATCATTCATGGTAGTTATGTTGGTTAGTTTGATTTCTCTGTAGCTCATGTTCCTGTGTGAAAATCTCTAATAAGCTCTTTCTTTAAATGAGTTACTAGGGAGACATTTGGAAAGACAGAGCCACAAATGTTTTAAGAATTCACTTTCCTGGGGTCAAAGGGCTGGTAGCAATTCATAAAAATTTCCACATTGTGAGGTAACCTCTAGACTTTGGTAGTTTAAACTGAGAATGTTTTGAGACAGGAACAAGAAGAAAATATAGTTTTGGTATTTAATGTAGGAGTGCTTTAATCTTTGTTTTAAAATGGACCACTTTTCATTTGTAGCTAAATATTAAACTTTAAAAAGAAAGAATAGAATAATCTTTTGTAGCAAATGGTAATCTTTATATAATCTTCTATATTACATGTCAAAATATTCTTTAATTAAAAAAAAAAATCTCTCCCTTTTTTCCACAGGGCTTCCTGATCCATTTGCTAAGGTGGTGGTTGATGGATCTGGGCAATGCCATTCTACAGATACTGTGAAGAATACACTTGATCCAAAGTGGAATCAGCATTACGACCTGTAGGTTTAAATGATTAATTTGAAACGAAATATAGAATTATTATTATTTGATATAGTCTTTGAAAAGAATCACGGAAAATGATTTAAGTTTGATCTGTCGTATAATTTGGTCTTGACAGTAGAGGTGCAAAACCCAGTGGGAAGGTGCTTTGGCTTATTGATAGCTGCTTTTGAAAGATGAAGTACCCCTAATAAGCCTATGAAGAACAAAATGAAACTGGCTCACAGTATACAGCAGTCTTCCCCTTTTTTCTATTAAATAAAGGTATTAATTCATTTTAGGCTAATTATAGGTATAAAACCAGAAATCAGAATCAGGGTGCATTTATAGGCATTCTTTTTGTTTCTGTGTGAATGGTTTCTTAATTTTAAGTTCTATTTTAATCATAGTAGTATTTGCATGTTTTAAAAAAGGCAAATGATTCTATAAGACTTTTAATGGAAAATAGCAGTTTTTCGCCCCATTCTCATTCCTGATTTTCATTCTTAAGGTAACTGCTTTAATAACTTTGGCTGTTTATTCTAGTGTTTTCTTCTGTCCTAGATAGCTTGTTTATTTTATAGCATCTCAATTTTTTTGTTTTTGTTTTAAGTATTTCTACATTTCCTACTTTAGAAGATGATTCAGCTTTTAAAACTAATTTCTCATGCCCATCCCACGACACTTCCTTTCTCCTAGACCTCCAAAATAATTATATGAACCTTTTTGGTTAAATTATTGTTCTGTGTTTACATTATTGTGATTATGTAAATATTCATATGTGGGTCACATGGTATACAAGAATTACATTTCCTTTCTTGACAACTCTTTTTCCTGAAGCTAATAACTATCTTTGCCATTTGTTTAGTTTTCTATTCTATTTCATTACTTAACTACGGAACTCTCCTAGAGAACTAAACATTTCCTCTCCATGTCACATCAGGTATTACATTGGCTTTGTTTTTTTCTTGGAGATATCCCTCTTGGAGCCTCTGTCCTCTTACTCCAGTCTGGTCTGGTGGTTCTCTAAAACCTGCTCCACATTTGTCCTGGGATTTGCCTTTATCATTATGTTGGGAATTTCCTTTGTGTTTTCTAGGTCCAGTGACTACCTGTTTTGTTTGTTTGGTTACTCTCCTGTTTTGGTGAAGTCTGTCTTTCATTGTCATTTTGAGAAAGAGTACAGAGATGGGAAAAATTTTTTAGAGATATTATCTGAAAATATATTTTGTCTTCTTAGTTGATAGTTTGAGTATAGATTCCTAAGTGAGATATCACTTTCCCTCCAAATTTTTAATACATTTCTCTGTTATCTTCTAGATCTAGACCTGCACTGTCCAAGAGAAATACAATGTGAGCCACAATTGGGAGTTCATTTGTAATTTAAAATTTTCTAGGAGCCATATTTAAAAAACTAGGTCAAGGGTTCGGTACCCCATGCTGGCCAGCTGCCCCTTCCTCCCTGCGCCCAAAATAGTAAAAAGAAACAAAAGAAATTAGCATGATAATATATTTTATTTGATTCAGTATATCTAAAATATTCTCATTTCAACATGTAATCAACATGAAATATTGAGCTAGTTTATCATAAATGTGTGTATTTATTTACTAAGTCTTTGAACTCAGGGGTTTATTTTGCCCTTACAGCTCACCTCAGTTTGCAGTAGCCACATTTCAAGTACTTGATAGTCGATGTAGCTGGTGGCTACCATTTTGGACAGTGCAGATTTAGAGTATTGCTGCTGGCATCCTGATTTTGGTCTTTCATGATTGTTGTTTTCCACTGAAAGATTTCAGGGTGTTTTTTTTATTCCTCTGTTACCAATACTTGTTATTTTCCTTTTAAAAAAATTATAACCATGCTAGTGTGTATGAAGTGGTACCTCATTGTGGTTTTGATTTGCATTCCCTTAATGAGTAAGGAGGAATATTTTCTTATGTGCTTGTTAGATTTTATTTTGCAGTTAATATTAGCTGGCTACCCAGGGATTTCTCTCGTTTGTTTCCAAATGCTGTGTTGGAGGGAAATACTTTGGGTCATTTTGCAAAACCCTTGCCTTTAATTGGCTAAATCTACAAACAAAAGTCTAGTTCAGTTTTAGCCAAAAATCCTGAATGTATATATCGTATTTTTGTCTATGTTGGAATATTGTATCCTCCAATAAAGATGTCCCTCACAATTGAACATCCTTGCAACTTCTTTATAAATCATGTGTATGTTAGTGAGGTTGAAGTTTTAATAGAACCTAGTAAAGCCCTCTCTTTAATTTTCAATTATAAAAGTCTTCATTTTTCCTTTTATGTTGCCATGTGTGTTATATTACATGAGGTTTCCTTAAAGTGAGAGCATATACTTCTCTAGGTATAAGAATGATAATATTGCTGATTAATTTCTGGCCAAGGAATATTTAGACAGAATGTTTGTGATATGTACACTTAAATAACAAAGTATTATTCATAATTTTTAGTAATTCAGAGTTAGACTATCTTCCAGAAGGTCCATAATTAGCAAATGTTTGTTATAGTTTAGTGGTGAGCTTACCAACCTTTTTATATCATGTACACATAAAAAATATCATGGCACACTGCACTAAACAGATGAAGTTGGAAGTTGCTTAAGCCAGTGGTGGCTGCCCTGAGGCCTAAAGGAATAAATATTTCAGCATACCTTTAAATGAGGTTAACTAGCTGGGAAACTGGTTTAATGTGATTTTTTTTTTTTAAATGTTTGGGGTTATTTAGCTGTTTAATACTTGATTCTGGTTCTGTAATTTTGACATAGCATGCAATAGATACATGCCAAGATATATCTGGTAGGTGTATTTGAAATTAGGTGCATACATACTGAATGATATTTTTGTCCAGATGTTTTCATTTACAGAGACCAAATTCAAATTGGCTTAATTTTAAAAAACGGAATGTATTGACTTATATAATTAAAAGCCCAGGGGTAGGCATGCTTTAGGCATAGCTGGATCTAGGTGTTCAAGTGTGCCTTCCATGTTCCTTATTTAAAAGTTTTTGTCCTCAGTGAAGTGATTTGGGCTTTTTTATATACTAGGTGAATTTTTTCAATATTGCTGCTTTACTGAATGATACATTTAAGATCAAGGTTGCTGGACCAAAAATTTGACCTCTTGGAGACATTGAAATAGAGTTAGGGTTCTTTTGATATAATTATGTTGTTATATTTTTACATGAGTTGATGCCATGTTAACAATTGGCTGTGTTATAGCTTTTACATACCTGCAGGTATATGTACAGACAAGTACAGTAACGCTTTTCCCTGCTCTGCTTGTCTGCAGGCAGTGAAGTGAAATCTGCAAGAGTCCTGCTCGCTCAAGGCCTGCATACAGGAAAGAAGCAGGTGAAAAGCGTTACAAACACCTCTTTTGTTCTACAGCATTTTAAAATATAACAGGTAGGTCAGATTTTTGGTCTGTCAGCCTTGACAATGCCCCTTGAAAATGAATAAGCCTATTCTGAGGTAGTAGGTCATGTCATTGAAATGTATTTAAAATGTGACTTTAGGATTTTTATTCTTAGAAGTAATTGTTATAAACTCCCTTAGTGTAGTTAGACACTAGCTACTAAAATAGCTTTTTTGCTAGCATCGATGTTGCCTAGCCTGAGTAGCAGATGTGATAAAAAATTCTTTCTAGATTTTACTCTTTAAGATTTTAAGAAATTTAAATTCAATCCTGTGGATTTATTGAACTCAAAAGATATTTTGCATGATCTTCCTATGCTCAAAACATATTTGTGACTTTAGAATATAAAAAGAACAACAGAAAAATTTTACACTAACTACCTAGAACTACCAAGTTACTCATGCAGGATTTTGTTTTTTAGGTATATTGGAAAGTCTGATTCAGTTACGATCAGTGTATGGAATCACAAGAAGATCCATAAAAAACAAGGTGCTGGATTTCTTGGTTGTGTTCGTCTTCTTTCCAATGCCATTAACCGCCTCAAAGACACTGGCTGTGAGTAGATAGTAGTGCTTTTTCCAAAAAAAAAAAAAACAAACAAAAAACTACATCTATATATAGATATATAAAAGGGGTCCAAGAACTTAACTTCCTATGTGAAACTGAAACATTGGTAAGAATTCTGGTTTAAAGTTGTTTTGTGGACTTTAAAAAAAAACAACACTGTAAGTATGTGAAACCTAGAGCTGAATCAGAGTTGATGCTTAGCTTCCAGTGAATTTTTAAGTTTTAAGAAATGGGGCTGGCTGGTTACCTCAGTTGGTTATAGCATGGTGTTATAACACCAAAGTCAAGAGTTTGGATCCCAGTACTGGCCAGCCACCAAAAAGAAAGAAAAGAAATGATATGCCTTTGTTAATGCCCTTCTCTGGTTTTGGTGGATTTGTGCAAAGTGGTGAGTTTTTATATGGGTAATTTGACTGTTTAAGGGGAATTATTAGTGGATAAAAAATGATATGATATCTAAAACTGCTGTGACAAAATTAAAAGGTAAGACATTATTTTGAGTGTAAGACAGCTATATTATTTAACTATAGCTCAGTTTATTACCAACTTGGGCATTTAGAAGATTAGACCAAGATCAAGATATTAGAAATGATTTCCATAATTGATCAACAAGTTGACTTAGCACATATATAATTCATGTAACCAGGTGACAAAGAGTCTTTTGGGGGATCTTTTCACTGGGACATAGATGGAAATATCTTTTTCAAAAGGTTGGTTTCTTTTTTTCCTACAGAATTCCTTTTTATACAGTGTAAAAAATATTGTTAGCAATTGTCATGAGATTTTAGCCCAGACGCCTATGCCAAACAAACTCACAAAATCTAGCTGAGGAATTTGATAAACAAAAACCAAAAAATTTAGCATTGAATGTTAGCTATATTAAGAAATGATCTCTTTTAATATAGTGTGATACGATAGCCCAGATATATAAATATTGACCTGTTAAAAAGAAAAATAGAGAAAATTGAGCTAGATGTTCTGAGTCAGGGGAACTTTTTTTTCTTTTTTGGTGGCTGGCCTATACGGGGAGTCAGAGGAATTTAAGGGCATCTGAGAAATTCTTATATTTCTGGGTTAACAGGGTGACCAACAGGAGAGAGAAGACATGGGGATTAGAAAAGGTCTGCATATGAAAATGAACTGTTTTATTACCCAGCTCAGCAGGCAAACTGAAAACGTATAGATCAAATGTCTGACATTATCCCTGGTTCAATTTACTCAACATTTATTGAAGCCTTAACTTGCCAGGTACTGTTCTAAATCCTGGCAATATAAACGTGAAAAAGGCATGGATACTGTCCTCTGAGAAGCAAGGGCAAAGGCCTACTGGAAAAGGGAGCATGCCACGTTGAAAGGCCTGAATAGGAGAAGAGGAATTGCTCTGCAAAAGTCCACTGTATAGCCAGTTTAGTAGTGTCCATTTATTTTGCAAAGGGAAAAATAACTGTAATTTTGGCTGGATAGCCAGGGCTATCGGTTTGGGACACAGATTTTTCTTTCTGATGCTTGTGATTGTTTCATTGCATTAATTTGTTTGATCTTTCTGATGTGCAGTAATTTAATTTATCAAATATTTATTGAGCACCTCATGTGATGTTCTACCAGGTTGGAGTGGAAAATACAAAGACTAAGATATGGTTTCCTTCTTTTATAAATTCACAATTATTTAAGTAGACAGATGGCATATAGCTGTAAAGGAATTCAGCTTTAAGTGCTGTACTGTAATCAAAGTAAAACCAATGTACTACGGGTGACATTGTTCCTTACTCTAACTTTGAGGGCTAAGCCAGTGTTATATATATGTGTTTTACAGGTGAGGCATCTAAGAGAATAAATGAATTGTTCCTAAATGAGTTAATAGCAGAACTGACTCAAGCCCAGATCTTACAGTTTATACTTGGCTTCTTATTAAAACTTATTTTGTGTGTGTGTCATTTAAAATGGTTAGATAAACAGGGATATTGTGTAATAATAAGAGAAACAGTACACCAATAGACATAGCAATCCTAAATGTCTGCATACAAAACAGGATTGCAAAATATGAGAAGCAAAAACTGACAGAACTGAAAGAAAAAATACAAACACAGGTACAGGTGAAGATTTCAATACTCCTCTCTCAACAACTAGTAGAACAACTGCAGAGAAAGTCAGCAAGGATATAGCAGGGGAGGGAACTTCCTAAATCATTTGGTGAAGCTAGTATTACCCCAATACCAAAACCAGGCAAAGATGAAAAGAAAAAAAAAATTTTTTTAAATGGTTAGATAAAAAAAAAATCTATGATAATTACAACCAACATTTACATGCCAGGCACTATGCTGAGAGTTTTATGTAATTAATCTGATTTAATCTTTAAAAAATATGAGGTAATATCATATATGAGAAAACCAAGACTCACACATTAAATTGCTTAAGACCAACAACTGTTAGTGGCAAGCCAAGATGCAGACTGAAGTGGTTTGAAAGCTTTGGAGAGAAAGTAACTGCATGTTGGCAACGTAATACAGCAGTGTTTCATGGTTTTTGAAATCTGAATGTATCAAAACGTATTGACGTTTATAGTAATTGTATATGTAGTGAGAGAATTTCAAGTATTTGTTTTATGTTAAAACATGATTACTTTTTAAAATAATAGGTCTGATTTTCGATGGATTGTGGAAATTTACTCTCACTCTATAGATGTTAGAATCTCTGATATCATCTAATTTTTTAATTGCTTCTTTTATTGATTTGAAATAGATCAGAGGTTGGATCTATGCAAACTTGGGCCAAATGACAACGATACAATTAGAGGACAGATAGTAGGTAAGTGTGGAATTTACATGAATTTTGGCCTCATTCAAACTGAAAGACTAAATACTTGTACCTTTTAAATCAAAGTATAATAACTGTATCTTCATTGTTTTTGCATGAATTAAATATGGGTCATGTAAAATGTTACAAACAGTGGATCTAGGATGCAGGTTAACTTAATTAATAAAAAATTAATGTAAAATAAAGCAGCTTCTAGTATTGTGAAGAACTATGTTATTGATCCTTTAGGAAGGAATTCTTTAAAAGTATTCAAATATAGTAAAGCACCGAGATAGACTTTCTAGATCTTGTTAAAATTTTCTGAAGATAATTCTGAAACTAGTTTTTGAGTAAGAGAAGAATATTCTGTTGAACTCTTTGTTTAATGCTTTGTTTAATGTTTAAACAGTTTCACGGTTTTAAAATCTGTGCTAATTGAAAAAAAATAGAATGAGCAATAGTAGTGTAACACTGATGAAAAAGGGAGAAATTGTCTTACTCATTGGGCACTTTGTAGGCTAATAGACTATCTTGAACTGACCTACAGGGAAGTGCTTGATGTGAAATTTCCTTAGACATTCCTTAAGAATTAATGGATTGAGATTTGATGAAGACGCAGAGTGTGGTAGGACACTGAGGAGGACACCTGTGAGGGTCCTTAAAGAAGAAAAATGCAATTGGAATCTTACCACTTCGTGATGGAGCAATATTTAGAATATGGTTTAGGGCCGGCCCGGTGGCGCACTGGAGAGTGCGCCGCTTGGGAGCGTGGTGGCGCTCCCGCCGAGGGTTCGGATCCCATGTGGAGACCGGTTCCCGCTCACTGGCTGAGCACAGTGCGGGCGCAACACCGAGGGTTGTGATCCCGTTGCTGGTCCCCGGTACGGGTGCGACACCGAGGGTTACGATCCCATTACCGGTCAGTAAAAAAGACAAAAAGGAAAAAAAAAAAAAGAATATGGTTTAGTTATGCACCTATCAGAGAGGTTTTAGTTGCCGAAGATACTTAAAGGAGTTCATTTTACAGGGCAATGTTTTAGATTTATAGGGGGCTGCAAGAGTAGCAACATTACAAAGCCTTACTGAGGTTATCCCAGAGAGTATTTGTATCACAGCACGATTTATAATTCCTGTCATTCTTAGATTGAGAAGGGGATTAAAAAAACCCTCAAAAATAAACTCTGGATAGATCTGAATGAGAAGGAAGAAAAAAAAAATTCTGGCATACTAGACTTTTACATATTATTGTTCTTACTGTATTTGATTTGTTATGTAGTGTTCGCCACCTAAAGTTTTGCAGTAGCAAAAGTTTTACGAGATGGAAATTTACATTTATAAAAAGTTTTTTTTTATTGGAACATAGTTGATTGTACATATCTGTAGGGAAATATACTTACTGGAGTATACTATATAAAAAAATGTTTACTTTTAAATATGCATGTGTGTAATATATACAAGGGTATTTTTAAAAGTTCAGGAAAAGATTCGTATTATCTTTTAATTCTGTTTTCCCACAAACTTTTTGAAGTACCCTTGTATTTAACTTAAAGCGCTTGTGTGAATCTGGTGTTCATAATGGGACCATTAATAAGAGAGAGGCAGGCAGAACCCAAACATGATCCTGCACTTCTGTCAATTAAAAACAGAATGAGTTCCAGTTCTTACAGAATTAGGCCTATACAAATAATTGTAAATAGATACACATAACATCTCTTTGGAAAATGGAGAAAAAGTACATTAGAATGCTAACTTAAAAAAAAAACCCTTCTAATATTTGTATATACATATATATGTGTATATTTTTCTGATTTTAATTATAGTGAAAGCCTTTTTATTTTGCTTTCTTTCACTCACCACAATCACTTTTAGTATTTGTACCCAATCTTTGTAATTAATGGTTTTTAAAGAACAAGTTATATAGATATGTCATAACTTAATCATTGAACTTTTATGTTATTTTTAGCTGCAACAGTGAAACTTGCAATCATTTTTGTATACTTTATTCTTTTTTTAGAATTGTTACCTTCAGAAAAAAATCTCCCAAATTGAGACAATTGATTTAAGCAGTATAAACCTTTTCTCTTGCATTTAAAACTGTTATTCTACTTCTTCCATCCCTTATGAATTTTTTCTTTTGTCTTTTGTTATAAAATAAAATCCAAATATAGGCAAAATACCTAAGGAACACTCATAATATATCATTGTTATCATCTTGCTGTATATCTTTCCTATATATTTTTTAAAAATGAGATTATATCATGCAAGTTTTTTCTAATATGTTTTAATCTGTCATGAACATTTTTTTTTGGTCCATGGATACATTTCTATAGCATTTTTAATGTATGGTCGTCTGTGGTGGGTGTATAATTGATTTAACCAGTTCTTTATTGTTGGATATTTAGGTAGTTTTTGATGTTTTAATTTTATGAACAGTGCTCTGATAAACATAGTGTTTATAAGATTCATTATATATATTGCTTGAATTAGGCCATTTAAAAACGCCTAAAAATTTCTTGGGTATTTTGTAATACAACAATCTGGAGATGTAAATTGAAGCCCATGAAATTCTTTAGCTTTGCACCATAATGTTATTCTAAACAATGCCAATGAGAAAATATACTCTTTCTACTGTGATTGTATTTTCAGTATGCGTATTACCTATTTTTTTCTGTATAAAAACTGATTAATATAGATATGTAGTATAGTTTTCCTATAATGTTTTGTTTACATTCACTGAGGAGGTGTATTACAATGTTCATTCTCTTCTATAAATGGCTCCATGTTGAACTTTTGATTTTTCAGAATTTTTACAAACCTATAAGATATCAGAATTTTGAGGCCCTTCCTTGAATGAAGAGTTCTTAGATGTCATATTTTATGTGGTTAACCTATTAATTCTTTTTTTTTTTTTTTTTTTTCTTTTTGTCTTTTTTCCGTGTCCGGCAACGGATCGCAACCCTCAGTGTTGCCCCCATACCGGACCGGGGACCGGCAACGGGATCGCAAGCCTCGGCGTTGCTCCCGCGCCTCGCTCAGCCAGTGAG